ATGAAAAGTGTAGTAACAAACTTTGAGCTTTTGAGAAAATACCCATGAAAATGTGGGGTTTCCTTTTTTCATCCATCCTCAAACATTTCTGTTTCCTCCATCAAAATATCTAATAATTGAAATATCTAAGAATCAAAATATTGAAGTCCACTCACTTCCCCAGGTACAAATCTGGTCTCACAGGGGAACAGCATTTGAAAAAAAATCTGGGTTTGGCTCAGCAGGTGATATTTCTTTAAAATGTAGCCTCATGGATTAAAGTAGTGAAACACATAGTACTGTATTCTGAATGAAGACTCTCGTTTAAAAATAATTGTCTTTTGTCACCAGGGAGTAAGAATGGGAGAGACATCTACAAATATAGCTACACTCAACATGAACCAGGCTATTAAGATCAACGTGAAGGAGGGTTGTGAAGTGGATAACCCCTGTGATTCCAACCCGTGTCCCCAGCATAGCTACTGCAGTGATGACTGGGACAGCTACTCCTGCGTCTGTGACCCAGGTAACCCAGTGACTATTCCATGCACTCATCCAGGAGCTGGATCACATCTTCACGCACTCATCAGAAGAAGAGCAGCAGCAGCAGCATGGTTACAAAGTGCTCATCTTCAGATTCTTCCTCTTCCAATCAGTATCATCTTTCTCAGTCTTACTGTAGCACCCTTGAAACTACAGTCACGGACTAAGGATCATTTGTTCTAGGGAACATATCAACCAAACAGAAAGACAGTCTCTGGTCCAAAGAGCTCTTTCTGTACACCTCCCCTTTTATTTTAGTCTGTTTTCTTTTTCTTTTTTTTCATTTTCTTTCCCAGCCTTTTCTGCTGTTGAACTTCAGTCTCACACCCTGCATCCTAATCGAGATACTTTGAATGTTTTCTCTGTTTTGGTGCATGTAACCAGCCCATGCTGTCAGCACCCAGCACAGTCACCTCCCATACGTGCAGGGAGAGAATACAAAACTATTTGTAACACATGCCCTGAATATAAAACTGGGAACCAAAGGCACAAGGGTGCCTCAAGCATGTTAACAGACTGTCAAAAAAAACAGCCTACTGTCTTTTTTGCTGGGAGGGGAAAGAGACTTTCGACAGTGTATTAGGGGAAATCTACTGATTATTGAAGATGTGTTATTAGTGTACAAGCTTAAAATAGATGGTCTTTTGGAGACATGCAAATCATAAATTACAATGGTTGCTGTAATTTTATGACCTTGTCTCCCCAGGGTACTTTGGAAGAGACTGTGTTGATGTATGTAACTTGAACCCATGTGAGCATGTCTCCACGTGTGTGCACAAACCTAGCTCATCCCATGGCTACACCTGTGAGTGTGGACAAAGCTACTATGGACAGTACTGCGAGAGCAAGTAAGAGAATTATTTTGTTCTTGGTTTCTTGATTCTTCCTGGTAGCTCTTCTCCCAAGGCAGCAGTCCTCCTGCTTCCTTTTCTGCTTCAGTTAGCTTTCCTGTTATACTTTGAGTGTTCATAGTGGATGGTATTTGCAGGCTG